ATACGACTTTTCGTGGTGAGATACGATTTGGGTCAAGTACCAAGTAGACTGCTGAAGAAAAATCACCCCCTACATTTGGACTGTAAAACCTGTTCATATTGTTTTCAGTGACGTCCTTCACGCCACCTTTCTCCCACCTTTGAAGGACTGACCAAACACTGCAGCCGCTTCATCACCGCCGCACCGCCGTGCCGAAAGCCGTGCCACGGGCGTCTTATACGCGACTGTGCACTCAGAAGGACAAGTGGAGTGCTGCATAGCCCAGGCTCAACTCTTGAACGGAGTGACCTTGGCAGCGACGGACACGTCGGACGGCAGGGAAGGAGGCGTGGACGTCACACAGCGTTCCGTGGGTGGCCGTAGACCGGCAGCTGTTGTCAATTGAGTTAGTATGCACACACGGCATGGCATGCATGCAAGTGATTAAAAGAAAGACACCAAGTATGACATGGTCGTAGAAACAACACGGCTATTGGCTGTATATTGTCTTGTGGGGGTTATATTGTGAGGAAATCATGTTGTCTCACCACGTCTCACCCATTCCAGTTGAACCTGCCTCCCTACCTATAGGCCCTCCAAGCACAGGAAAGGATAGAAAAGGGGCAAATGAAGCAACTGTACATTTTTCTACATGCACATGAATTGGACTGCGTTCCATACCCAAACATCGAATATGTGATACACTGACCATCACTGACCACCCCAATGTAGGTATACATGCCAGTCCCATGGAGTGTGTTTGATACTACGAGTACCATCATGCCGGGCAAACCAAGCCATTTCCATCAATTTTGGGACATGAAGACATCGATGACGAAAAGAAACAGATCCTCTGGCACCCGACCTCACCCAGACTTGCGAGAAAACCAGTAGGTCTCATCTGCCCTATTCCACTCCAACCATATCCTCAGGTTCGGCAGTCAAACCCCCCCTGCTGGGCCCCCACCCTTGGCCCACTGATCCGAAACGAAGGGGGGCGGCCGAACGGAGCCCGAACGGTTTCCGACCTCTCGGGGTGGCGAAGCGGTGAATCAGCTTCGGGAAGCCTCGATCGGTGCACCCCCGAGCAGATCTGATCTGATCCACGATCCATCCAATCCATTGGAGGCCAGGTCACCAGCCTCCGCCAAGAAGGCGTACTTCTCGAAGGGCTCCTTGGGAACCCAGATCATGGCGCAGGTGGGTTTTTCCATGTGAAAAAGGGGTGGTCACTTGACGATGTCAGATCCTCATGCCGTCGGCAGGCTGTCGTTGGCACACTCCAAGTCCACCAAGTCTACAAGTGTTTGTCGCAAATGCAAAGAGAGGGATATGTTCGACGCAAAACGATGCAAACAAAAACGACCAGAGAGATGCTCAAGTCGAGTCGCAGATTGAATAAATTCTTGACATTAGAGGAGCCCGAGGTTCTAGGTCTACCTCTTTCGCACGAATTTACTATATATATATGCCTATCTACTAGTTCATTCTTACTGAAGCCTGTTTGGTGTTGTCCAATTAAACAAAACGATACAAGACACATCAAAACACTTAATTTTATATAGATATATACTCTCTCTATATATATATATATGCAGGGCTTGCAAAAATGACTCTCCTTTTGTGTATCTCAGTTTTCTTACTTACATAATGTTGTTTCTGCCTCTGTTTGTGACCTCTTTAGCGTCTTTAGGGCCTGTTTGTGACCTCAGCCACTGAGATCTCAAGGAAGGTCACTTTTAAACGTCCCGGTCCATTGAATACATCTTCCACAAGTTTGCTCATCTCAATCCATCCACCTCCCCCCCTCCTACCGCCCGGCCCTCCAGAATACATGTAATCGAAAACGGCGCGGTTTCTCCGCTTTCCGGGTGCAGCAGGGGCACACTGCCCTCCGGTGGGATGGGCGGCAAACTTTTGCTCGGTTGGAGCTTGGAGATGGCGCGACCCTGCGGTCAAATGGTCGACCCTTCAGCGCATGGAAAAACGTGACGCGCGGGCAGGGGGACAGTGGAAAAAACCGGTTGAACAGCGACCGCCGGTTTGGGTGTTTGGGGGTGAAGGCTGGAACGGCCCAGCGTGGGGCAGCTGTATTGATTGAATGTGATTGACACGTTTGCAAGCACACCGGTACTACATGGTGTATATCTACACAAGGACTGAAAAAAAAAACGTTTTTGTTGGTGTGAACTATTTGGGTGGGTGTATTCAGAGGATTTGATCTGATCCATCTTCGGGTCTGCCAAAGGATCGGTGGCACAAAGACCCTGACACGACCCATGGGACTGGCAAATGAAAACCGATCAAACAAAAGGGGTGGTTAATTGGAGGGGTCAATGTGGGCCAATACCACAGTCCCATGGAGGTCTCTGGGATATGGCCTAAGTGACTATAGTGGTTTTGGTTCTTGAATGCTGGTCAAATTTGTTTACCTGCATCGTCTCAAAAAGAAAGGAAGTCTTCGTCCGACATCTCTCTATCTCAAATCTAGGACTGCAACTGGGGCTTGCAAGCCGGGGTTTACTCAGAATGCCTTGGTAACCACTTCTGGTGCCTTTCTTGCCTAAAAGTGCCTAAAGTATATGAGTGCTCCCCTCCCTTGTCCATTTATTTGGTTCAGCCATCGAGTATGCTGTAGAAATGGCGGCATATTTGGTGTAAAAGGTTGGTTGGGATCTATCAAAATATCCTTCCGTCATGTAGTATAGATATTGCATGGCATGGCTTTATTTATCGGAGTATTACAGTCGATCTTTCTAGTTCCCCAATCCGACGACCCCACTCATGACCGGTATGTTTGTGCTTAAGCTGAGTGGGGTCAGGCCTGGGTGTGGGGGACATGTGTGAAGTGTTAAGTGTAACTATAGGTTAACCTTCCCTACCCTCCCGGAGGGCTGGTTTGTGTGATTTAAAGGGCTGACGCCCACCAGCGGGCCAGCAGGCCCACCATCAGAGACCGTGTATTGTTGTTGTTGTGGTGGTGGTGGTTGTGGTTGTGGTTGCGGTTGTTGCTGTTGTCCTGGTCGTGGTCGTTGGTGTTGGTGTTGGTGTTGCTGTTGTTGTTGTTGTTGTTGTTGTTGTTGTGTTTTGGTTGTTCTTGTCGTTGTGGCAGTAGCAGTAGCAGCAGGAGCAGCAGCAGCAGCCGGAGGAGGAGTAGAAGTAGAAGTAGTAGAAGTAGTAGTGGTAATAGTAGTAGTAGTAGTAGTAGTAGTAGTAGTAGTAGTAGTAGTAGTAGTAGTAGTAGCGATAGTATGTAGTAAAGTAGTAGTAGTCGTCGTCGTAGTAGTCGTAGTCGTAGTCTTACTCGTCGTCGTCGTCGTTGTTGTTGCTCTATATCTCTGGAAGAGGAAAAGAAGAAGAGCAAGCAAAAGCACAAAATGTGTTCTTCTTCTTCTTGCGTGCCATAGGTACAGGGGTGAGAAAAACGTGTGAAACTAACTCAAAGCAAGAACTGCCGCGCCCGAAAACCATAACTCGCACCCGCGTGCGCGAAGTCGCGCGATCGAGTAGTAGTCGAGTATATAGTTGGAATCACCCGTGATCGCACCCCGATCGCGGATCGTCTTGGTGACACGCCCACCTCATGCGAAGAGAGTCTTTGAGTGCCCTCTTCCTGAGCAGTGCCTCGTTCCAGCAAGGCGCGCGCCAAATCCGGAGGGTCTGAAGAAAGAAAACCCGCGCGGACCGCACCGAATCCGGGTGGAGGTGGTCTGGGGTCTTGCGGGGATGTTCCGCTAGCGCTGAGGGATGATGAGGTTGGAGGATGTTCAGGATGTTCCCTGGAAGGATACGGTGACTTAGGGAACGGAAGGTTGATCAAACCAGACTTGGTGCCGATCCGCAAGTGGTCTTGGTGCCATGATTGCAATACTCGGGGCTGCAGAATGCCCTATTCCCCAAAACAATCCAAAACATAGTTTACAGGGACTTTCATTCATGATCCAAACCTCAATTCCAAACAACTCCCCAAAAAAACACCGCAACAAACATCGAGCCTGTCAGGAACTCTGGAATCTCCAAATACCCGGGCAGGGGCGGGTGATGCATGGCTATGCTCGTTCAGAACCTAATTGTAGGAACAAATGCAAGCGCAAGTTCCCTTGAGCCCATTACCATCCATTCAAAAAACGCAAGAAATTGTTCTTCCTCACTACCATAAGGGCACCCAGAAACAGATCATTGGAACACAGAGGAACAGAAAACTCTCCGGGACCGCAGTCTGACACCAGTTTCGCGGATCATTTTGGAACACACATCCTTCGGTAGTGCTTCGAAAGCATTTGTTAGTTAAAATGAACGTTTCGTATGACTTCCTCCAGGAGTGAGCCTTGCAAGTCTCTAAAAGGAGCGTTTAGTACGAGACTTCCTCCAAAAGTGAGCCGTGCAAGTCTCCAAAACGAGTGCTTCGGACGAGACTTCCTCCAAAAGTGAGCCGCACAATGCTTCAAAAGGAGCGTTTCGCACGAGACTTCCTCCAAAAGTGAGCCACACAAGTCTTCCAAATGAGCGTTTAGGAGACTTCCTAGGGCTTCACTTCTTTAGGGTCTCTTCTGGTTTTGCTTAGGGTTTCACTCCTTTAGGGTTTCTTGTGGTTGGGCTTAGGGCTTTGCGTCTTTAGGATGTCTTTGGGTCGGACCTAGGCCTTCACTTCTTTAGGGTTTCTTTGGTCTTGGCTTAGGGCTTCATTCTTTAGGATGTCTTTGGGTTTGACTTAGGGCTTCACGTCTTTAGGGTCTCTTTTAGTTTTGCTTACCCTGAGTCTCCTTTTGTAGTAAATTTAGTTTCCCCTGGTTTTTAGTAAAATGGGAAAATTAGTTTGGTAGGCAACTAAATTTCCGACTAAACTAATTTTTGCACAACTAAACTAATTTTTGCACAAACATGGAAACAGCATACAAACTACATAAGATTTTTATTGAACACATTGTAATAAATAAGCCCAAACCCTAGTAACATTCAGACGGCTGCTGACCATGAAGCTGGGCCATGGTGAGCTTGCTGTGCCAAATTGGCTCAGCTGCGCATAGGTTGGTGAATTGGTTTCCAAAGTGTCAGCAATCTTGTTGCTCAAACAATGTCACCAGAAATTTACACAGGGATTTGTGGCACAAGTCCCTGAATGAAGTGTATTGTCACCAGAAATATGCACAGAGAGGTCTGTGACAAGTCCCTCACAAATACTCAGCACAAGTGTTGTCACCACAGAAATGTACACAGAGAGGTCTGTGACAGGTAACCTCACCACAAGTATTGTCAGAAGAGTTTCTCAAGTACTTTATATAGGTACTTGACACAAGAAACTCGAATACATCTAGCACTGAATGCATGTGCCTTTTAATGCTCCATTAGATTTTGCCTTGAACCCAATTTAAAGGCCTTTCGTTGTAGGCAGCTTTCTTTGAAGCCTGCCAGCGTTTCGACCCAGGAAGGCAAGACTTCCAAAGAGTTTGAACCCTTGCGCTTTCGCCCTTGTAGCACCATACAAGAAAAGGGTGAATAAACCGGCTGAGCTGCAGTGCGTGCAAGAAAAATGAGTTTTGCTTGTGAGGTTGAAAACTTGCAAGCCAATACCCTGGTAATACTCAGACAGCTGACCATGAAGCTGGGCCATGTTGAGCCCTGCTTCTAGCAATTGCTGTGCAGCAATGGCTGGAACGGCTGTGTGACCATAGGTTGGTGAGTTGGTCTCCAGGATGTCAGCAATCTTTCTCTTCAACTGCAAACATAGCCGTTTTTGTCTGTGCTGCAAATCACCTGGTACCATGTAGTTGCACCAAAGAGCCAGCATTGCCTCATGTAAACCAGCAATGTCAGCAGCTCGACCCCTCAATCTGGGATACCCCTTCTTGGGCTGGAACATTGTCAATTTATCCAGCCTCGTCAGGTATTTGTGTTTGGTCCTGTTGTTGTTTTGGAATGTCTTTATGAACACTCCAATGGTAGTAAGGTTTTGCAAAGCCTCCCCTGGCAGAATGTTGAAGCAAAGCAAATGAAAGATGGAGCCATAAAAGTACTGCAGCCATCCCAGGTGCACATAGAATGCATATAGTCCAAGGCCAAAGAGAACGCTGAAAAGCCAGGTAAAGTGTACAAGTCAATGGTTGGTGAAAAATGATCTCCAGTTGGCTGGTGACAGCATCGCTTGCTGCCAGGGACTGCCAGGCCTGTTGTCTAGCCAGCTAAGATCTCCATAGTAGGTGGCTGTGCACCGGCTACATGGCCTCTCATGAGCGCTCCACTGTCTGCAGCCATTTGGCAAAAATCTAGACACCTGCCTTGTTGAAGTGGAGGAGCATTGAGCAATGCGGCGCAGTCCAAGCAGCACTGTCATCCAGCTTGGGTCGAGTCATCTGAATCTCAATGCAATCATAGATGCTCAAGTCCTCCAGCTTTGATCTGATTGCCTCAAGGCAAGAAAGGAATGTGTCACATGTGTATGATTGTGTGACTCTAACAAAAAAGTGAGCCTTGCGAGTCTCTAAAACGAGTGCTTCGGACGAGACTTCCTCCAAAAGTGAGCCGTGCAATGCTTCAAAAGGAGCGTTTCGCACGAGACTTCCTCCAAAAGTGAGCCACACAAGTCTTCCAAATGAGCGTTTAGGAGACTTCCTAGGGCTTCACTTCTTTAGGGTCTCTTCTGGTTTTGCTTAGGGTTTCACTCCTTTAGGGTTTCTTGTGGTCGGGCTTAGGGCTTTGCGTCTTTAGGATGTCTTTGGGTCGGACCTAGGCCTTCACTTCTTTAGGGTCTCCTTTGGTTTTGCTTCGGGTTTCGCTCTTTTAGGGTTTCTTTGGTCTTGGCTTGGGGCTTCACTTCTTTCGGATGTCTTTGGGTTTAACGGTTTGACTTAGGGTTTCACGTCTTTAGGGTCTCTTTTGGTTTGGATTAGGGCTTTGCTGTGCTGCTTTAGGATGTCTTTGGGTTTGACTTAGGGCTTCACTTCTTTAGAGTCTGTTTTGGTTTTGCTCAAAGATTCGCTCCTTTAGGGTTTCTTTTGGTTTGGCTTAGGGCCCACTCCCCAGAAGCCACTCCCCAGAATCCGCTCGCCAGTAGCCACTCCCCAGAAACCACTCCCCAGAAACCGCTTCCCAGAAACCCCAGAAACCACTCCCAGAAACCACTCCCCAGAAACCCACATTTGAACCGCGTTCCAAAACGATCCAAAAACCGCGTTCCGAAACGAGCTGAATTCGCGTTCCAAAGCGAGACGGCTGCCACCATAAGTGGTTCCTAAGCAGCGCGTCTGTCGTTCTGCCGCACAGGCGCCCGAAGCGATGTGGGCAGACATGAGTTCGTCCATGATCGGCTTCCCTGCGGCCGTGGCGGGGCGGGAAACCGCATCACTCCCTACGGTGGCGAGTTCGCCGCATCACGAAGCGTCACGAGACTGAAAGCAAACAGTTCTGTCATGGGTGTGTCTCTCAATGTTAGGACCAAAAACATCTGGGAAGAACAAGTACAGCCGAGAAGATGGTGAAAAGGTCCCTATCGACTTTCCTCTCAAGTGGTGTAAATGATTCCAAGTTATGGGGAAATGTGGGTAATTGAAGCGCTGAAGGACTTTAAAAGCGCCGAACATGTTGTTCTTTCCTGCTTGTGGGCACCTTTTTCCGAAGAGTGAATGGCATCTTTCGCTTTCCTTGGGGACACCAAGGCTTGGTGCCGAGAAGACCACCCGGTGTAGGAAGAAAAGCAACCATTTCTGGATCAAAACTCCCTGAGCTCGCTGCTGTTAACAGTTCATCTTCTCGTTTCCTGGGACTTTTCCACCGAAATCCCCGCGGTTCTTCACCGAATGGGGCGCCGTCATCATGACTCTCATAGTCGTTCGACACGGCCTGGTGCGGTCACGATCATGGCACTGATCCCAGACTCTCGCGCGACCTGAGATGTCGCACGAACATCGGTGTTCCGAACGGTAACACCTGGTGCGAAGAAAAAAGGCGTAAAACCGTAGATTTTTGGGATGCATTATTTGGAGCACCCGGTTTTTGTTTGGAAACATCATCGAATTCTCGCAGCTTCTTCTACAACAACCACATGGAGATCCAAAAAAAACGGAGGAGTTCGCGCAAAAACACGGTGGAACTACGGAGCTATCGTCCACCACTGGGCCCAGCAAATGGAGCTGTCCGTGTTCAACCTCGTGGTGCAGCCGCTGCAACCTGCTCAGCCCAGCAAATGTGGAGCACCAGCACGGCCCCGACGGTCAATGGACTTATTTCCGGGATTCCTCTCAGTATATCTCAGTATATAAATCCAACTGCCTCAAAGGCCAGGACTTTGGACTCCTCTCAATCACGAGAAACCCGTCTTTCAAGAAGGGAGGTATCTGGCACCGGCTTCAATGACTCATGACCACCATGCTTCCACTATTAATTAATGGAATTACATGGACTCTTCTGACGACCTTTTGGTGCCGCTTCCGTGAAAACGAAAAAAACAACAACACCAACGTCGACCAACCGCCACACCACCCAGTCGACCAACCGCTTCACTTCCGCGATACGTCCCTTTGGTCCCCATCCCAAACCGCCCCGGTAACCCATCGAGCGACGTCCTCCAAGGAGAGCTCGGCTTCCCAATGCTTTCCTCCGCGATACGTCGAAGCGAAGTGGCGGAGCGGTTGGCCCAGCCGACGAAATCAAGAAATCGTCAGCTGAGATGGAGATGTCCGAGCTTTTTGCATGGAATAGAATTCAAAATTACACCACCGTAGGCCCCAAACAGATGGGACAACAACGAAGCATTCCCAAGTCCACCTTTGAGACATCAACAAGAAAGGGAGGCAAGAAGGGAGACAAAAGGACACAGAAGGGAGACAAGACGGACACAATGACAAACAAGAAGGAAACAGAAGGAAGACAGAATTGAGACAAGGCGGACACAATGACCAACAACAAAGGAGACGAGAAGGCCAGCAAGAAGCGAGACAAGACCGGAGACAAAATGAGACAGAAGGGAGAAAAGGCGGACACAATGACAAACAAGAGGGAGACAAGACCGGAGGACCTCAGAAACAAATAAATAGAAATGCTGCATGGCCAGCGGAAAAGGGCGGACACCAGCAGTGACAGACTGGGAGACAAATGAATAGAAATGCTACATGGCCAGCGGAAAAGGGCGGACACCAGCAGTGACACAAAGGGCGGACACGTCTTAAGAAAGAATTGAGAACCCCTAACAGTAAACTGTTTGGGGAAAAAACAAACATGCTGAAAATCAAGGTCTAGATCATGATCTTGGATGTGGACTAAATGGCTGATCCGGGTGACCGTCACTATATCGTCATCTGCCGTGATTGTTCCACACGCGTGTGGGTGGCTCTTTTATCTTCCACACTTGTTTGTTCAAACTGCTGCGATGTCTGGTTTCAAGAATATGTGTGTTTCCTCTTTAGCATCTGGAAATATCATGGACAAGGGTCTCCCGGAATTGTTGTCTTCTTTGATCTGTCCAGCCACAACCACATGGATCCCCCAACAGACTTGACGTATGCAGTCTACAAATAGCGCATCTTGACACAAACAAATGCAACCAATGGGACTGCACATTGGAATGGCCTACAATCACCACCCAAATTATACCACTAATACAGGGGGGGTTATTACCAACTCCAGGCCATCCTTTCCAGTCCCATTCGCCGCGTCACTGCCCAAAAACCATTGCCTGTTGCTGGCAGGCGCAGCTGCTGTTGCTGGCAGGTGTACGACACAATGAGACCACCCGCCCAGCGCCCGCCAGGCCCGCCGAGGCTCCTCCTTTCACCACGCCCGACAACTGCAGGTTCTTCAGGAAATCCTCCACAACCACCTGCGTACCTTGACTCGACCCATCCCCAGGGATCCAAGTACCTTCTCAGTAGGTACGACTGGACCCTCCAAACCTACATAACAGCGCCTCCAATCCCCTTCTGAGAAGGTACTTGGATCATTTGGATCCCTAGGGCATATAACATTCACCCCTTTTTCAACCAGCTCTTTTCTGATTAAATATATTCCAGTCCCATGCAGTATCGGTAAGGGGCACCCGTTTGGCATCTGATCCATTGAGGCCCGCAACTGACTTGGGACATTGGTCACCAACCACGACCGGTTGTTCATCATATGCTGGAGGATGGAGCAAACAGACCGATACCTTTCGTGTTGTACAAATCAATGGATGTATGATGTATGATTGTATGGTCGTTGTTTGATTGAATCATTGTGACAGGCAAGCAAATGTGTGTTTCTTTAATGTTCATTACTAACCACAAATTTGGAATCCACTTGACCTCTTGAACATTTGATTGCTGGTGGCCACCGGAAGTGGAAACAACATCTTCATGTGCAACATGGATGTCGCACTCCAAGCTGAAAGTTTTAGTGACCTTTCTCCAAATCATGCGGTTGACATGAAGCGAAAACGCGTTCTTCCCAGGCAAATTCTTCATCATCGAAGTCGAAGTCTTTGACGTTGCCAAATTCTAAGTCCACGTCGTGGTTAGGGGGTTCACCCCATTCCCTCTTGATCCAGATTGACCATGGAGTTCCAAACTAAATAATCCTCCTGTCCTTTTCTTGTAACATAAAACAAATCAGCCCCTAGGGCTCCTGGCCGTCCCCTCCTTTTCGGTTCGGCCAGGGGTGGGTGTGTGTTTCGGGGGGTCGAGCCATCCACTGGTCGCCTGAGGATATGATGGGCCCTTCAGAGCTCCGATCGAACCGCTTGGGACGTCGGAGGATTCACTCGCCCAAGCGGCCACTCTCCACCAACTCCTGTGCATAGTCCTGTAACATCCGTCGGACCTGGCGAGAGTCGAGTCGATCAAGAAACCTGGACCCATCACCTGCATGGGGTATACCTACATCTACCTAAGGCCGTAATTTCAGTCTTTTTGTGTTCAGGCAGCTTTTCTGCCCGAGGGCGTTTCTTCTGGATTTTTCTTGAAACTCGCCCGAGTGCATTTTGGGAAGTTTTGGCTTAACCCATCTTAAACTCTCTGAACTAGCTCCCCGGCAATTCTCGCCCGAGTCCCGGGTGTTCCCGCCCGAGTCCCGGGTATTCCCGCCCGAGTATAAATCACAAAATCCTATATATTTATATCACAAAAACTCTCTCCTGAAAAACAAGTTCAGCCCGCAGGCTGATTTTCAGCCCGAAGAGCTAAAAGGCTGATTTTTGAGCTCAGGCCGTAATTTCAGCCTTTTTGAAGATGTAGGTATGAATATGGGATAGTCCAACAGTCGGGTCCTGCAACCTCTGTTGGGAAGAGGAAGATCGATCATGCAGAGCTGAGAAGATCGATCGACCCAGTGTGGTCAAACTCGAGCTACGTCGCTACGACTCCGTCGCCGGAGCTCCGTACGACGACTGACTCGGGTCCAGGTACATCCAAGAACATCCGTGAAAGCCAAGTGAATAGACACCCACATTCACCAGGGATTGAGGACCCTACACAAAGCCTTTGTTTGTTTTTGGTTTGCACATGGAAAAACTCGAATGGAAGGCTCAGGTGAAACAACTGTCCCCATGGTAGGATTGCCTAGTGGGTTCCTATAGAAGTTGTGATACGGCTCCAAGATGCTCCAAGTACCTCTTCATTTCGGTTCGGTGGGACTGGGGTGGGTGCCAGGAGGGTGCAGTCATACCTTTTGAGGAAGTACTTGGAGGAACCCTGGAGACTCCTCATGACTGTTGAGGGGCAGGCCCCCCCAAACAGATCATTGATGTCCATTCCCTAGGGCTATCCTATCATCGTTTATCCGGACTACCCTCACTAAGCAGTACCAAGTCACATTCAACTCGGTACGAACAAAAAAGACTCCAATGAGGCATCCCTTTATGATATCCTGATATGATTTGATCACATCAGCAATGACTCTACAGGCCATGAGAGACCAAATTCACACTTGGGCCATGAACAATTCAACCATATTCACACATTCAATGAACAAAGGGCGGGCATCTATTTTGAGACTCTGGGAAAGATTGATAATAAGAAGTCAGAAATAACAAACACCACGTCACTTCCAAATCCACATTCCTAGTCTTTGGTGATGAGTATGGGTCTCTCTCTAGCCTTCCCGACTGGGAAAGCATTATGAAACCTTTTGACCTGCCAGCCTGAGGCTGGATTTTTGCTTTGCATATATTCAATATTCATGATATGGGACATGTATAAGACATCAAATAATCATAAAATCCTCAAAGGCACCAAGTCCATGTTCAAAATAAGATCATACAAATTACCATACACTGCAATCATCAAATATCCATCGCTTGACAGAAACGACAGCGAACAACCATTGTGAAGGGCCACCTCCTGTTTTCACAATGATCAACTCATCATAAGTGACCTAGTCTTTCTCAGTTGGTCAGCAAATCACCATAATACACCATAATACACCATGAACGAAAGATATTGAAATCATCCAAAAGAATGAACAGTGTGCATCAAAAGTCCTATTGCCATTTCCCTCATGATTAGAACCCTTTGCTCAATTTGATCCCAGGTTTATTCTGCTCGAGCCTACTCGAACCGTTCTTTCAACCAAACTTAACTACCTAGCATCACAGCCATAGCACCACTAGTGTCCGGCTGGAAGAACATACATCTGTCTCCCTCAAGAATGTAAATCCAGAGGGGCACTCCATGTATGGAATATACAGTATGACTAATTACATTGATGGAGTTTTTGGGAAGGTATACCAGGGCCACCCGTTTGAGGTGTCTCCCCGAGAAAAAAAACACTCTATGGGTCGAGGGGAGAGGACAGGTCTCCGCCCTCATCGACCAGTCCATCCCCCATGTCCCCTGTCCACAGGAGGTGCCTTGGTGCACCGCACCGCCGTATGAAGAGCCTGCGCAGGACATGGACGAAGAGTGTGGAGTCTTCCCAGGGGGGCCGTGCCGCAAGCGGCAGCAAGCCATCCATAGAGTTAAGAACAACAGCATCCCAAAGGCCTCACTCATGAAACTGCGCTTCAAAAAAACTGATCTGCTCCAAAAACATTGAAGATCGCTCATGTAGTTTGAAGCATTCAATCAGGCATCCATCATTAGGCTAGAATGGGTTTACAACTTAAATGTGTTCTGTTTAGTTCCAATTAGGCCCCTGAACAATCTGATAGTAATTGGACTTGTGTCAAGAGTTCAGTGCCCACCCAGAATTCCAGCGCAACGGTCGCGCACCAACGAATTCGCGAGCTATTTACATTGCCCTCACTGGCGGACCATGGTGGACCCAAACGGCTGACGGGACACGTTTGGGAGAATCCCGATTCCGATCATGTCTGCGTTGCACACGGATGATCCCGGTATGAGTTTCCTTAGCTTCACATATTTTCACCCGAAAGTTAATTAACTACTATGCGAATTTCATCCTCAAATGAACAATTATTCTAGCCAAGCTTGGCGTATGATGTGCAATCCACCCTGGCTGTAGCAAAATGTAGCAAGTATTTCCCAAAGGGACCACATTGCCAATAGGTGCACAAGCAACCCACATCTCATGTAGGTTGAAGCATTCAATCAAATCTTCCATCATTAGGCTAGAATGGGTTTACAACATACAAAATGTGTTTAGTTCCAGACAGGACACCTTTGGGAGAATCCGGATTCCGGTTTTGATCATGTCTGCAGTATCGTGGATTATGCTGGTATCATGAGCTTCCTTAGCTTCACATATTTTCACCTGAAAGTTAAGTAACTAGTATGCGAATTTCAGCCCCAAATGAACCATTATTCTAGCTGAGCTTGGCGTATGATGTGCAATCCACCCTGGCTCAGCAGCTCCTTTTTCCATGGCCAACACTTGGCCCGCTGTAATTGGAACTTCATCCGGAACCACTTTGGATCATCCGGAAACTGGAACCACTTGATTCAGACACACACAGGGCAGCCATGAGAACACATCTTCAGCACAGCGGGACATCCTGTCGTCCTGAACTAATAATCAAAGAGGTCTGCTGCTTCACGGCCGTAGATGAAGTCGCGAGTAGTATGGTATCTTGAGCCCATCTCCCTCTCGTAGATGGCAACTGGGCTGGTGTAGATTGCAACTAGGCTGGTGGCAATAAAGACCGGAATACAAACTGCCACAGCCAGGTGCAAGCCTATGACCTGATTGCCGTCAGCATGAGAGGCTTCAAGATCGACACGGCTGAAACAGCAGCATTTCAACCAAACACTGGCAGCGGCCACTGCAAGAACAGCCACTGCGAGGACACGTGGTCGTAATCGTACGAGTTGTGGCATCGCCGGCGCGATCCGCTTCTTTCAGCGCCGAGCGGACTGGAACACGAGTGGCACCTCCAGCCAACTTGTGGACACTTGAGCCAAACAAAAACAGACGGAAGTTTCTTGGCTTTTTGGGCAAACAAACATTTCAAGTTCAACATCATTCAACTCCACAGGGATCCACATACCGAACCAGGTCGGTACGGTGATGGGAAACTATATTTATCGGCGCCAGGGTTGTCTCGGGCCCAGTCAAACCCAGGTCGCTACGATCCGTGGATCCGTGGATCCCACCGAACCATTCTTCTTCGGCTCGGTCCGAACCGATCATCCACCGGCTGGAACGGAGGGTTTTCTGACCTCGGTGACGCCGCCCGGGGCTCCAAATCGGAAGAAACATCTCTGACCCGCATGTGGCTCACAAACCGAAGACCCCAAGTAGTCACAAACCTTGGCTTGATGATCTTGATGGAAGCATTTCAAAGAAAAATATGCACCTGCAAGCAACTGTAGCAAGTATTCCCAAAGGAACCACATTGCCAATAGGTACACACACAACCCTTCCACATCACGTCATGCCTCATTGCCCAGGTCCATCTCCGTAGTTGCGGGCATGTCCGGCAAGCGCTTTCCAAAGCCTGGGCGCGCGGTGCCCGTGGCTCAAAAACACGGCGACCTCCGGCGGTGTTCTGTCACTTTTTTTCAATGAAATATATCCCAAACACTCCATGTACGCCATATAGCATTGCAGACCTCAAACCACCCGAACTGATCGGCAGTCCTATGGCAGTCCCATGGAGTGTCTGGGATATGTGCCCTATAGATTATGTATAATTGTGAGTTTGGAGGGGATGTGTGCCGGCCAATGCTTTCTCAACATCTCATGGAATTTCCGTTCTATGCCACCAGTGTTTGGTGAAAAGCCATGTGGGAGGGTTTTCCAACAACCACCATTTGCTTGGTATAGCTTGACATGGTGTCATTTCAAGCGGATTTCCAAATGACATCTGCTAGTGAGTCCTCATGAGGCTTTAGTGTGTCTTTCTTGGTTCAATCATGTTCCATCAACGTATCATCGACATGGGTTCCGACATCCCAAACTGACTCCCGGGCCTGCTCGATGTTTTTCGATGTTTTTAGATGTTTGGAGAATCTTTCACGGTTTTCTCCATGTGTTCTCACGGTTTTTCCAACTGATTCGTTTGGAGAACCGAAGAACCCCACCTTACCCCACCCTCTTCCTCACCACGCCGTTGCACCGGCGCGGGCACGATGGAACCGTCCGTGGACCGACCCGTCTGTGGTTCAGGGCCACGGAGGAGGTAGACATGGCGCTGAGCAGGGGTCAAGTCCTGTTGTGGCGGAGAAGGGGAGAGGCCCGGCGTGTGGTCGTGTTTTGCGGTGCGCACCAGAGGGGTCACGTGGGGCGAAAACGGGGTCATGTTGCTTCTGATGTAAGTGGTGCAGTGGATGCAAGTGCCACACTTACAATAATTACTATTACACCAAAAGGCGGAAGCTGCGTGTTTTGCAGCCATGAAGGATCTGAAATGAAACGTTCACTGGCCACGTTCGTTGGAAAAAGACCATGTGAATCGCATCTCCCCAAAGTCTTCCAGAATTGGGAGTCTGGAAGACAACTTAAGGGCAACATTTACTCCTTGTTCTACACATCTGCAGATCTGTACGTCTTCTGTGTCGACGCAAAGGACTGTCAACATGAGGAACCCCCAGCTAAGTGCCAAGGCGGTTTCCAGCTCTCGAAGCTGGAAACCTCTTTCTCAGTGGGATGGAAACACCGACGTGACGAAGGCCTTGACGTGGAAGAAACGCTGGGTCACATCTTTCGATGGGTCCCCAGCGGCTCTGGCGCAGCTGGTTTGTGGCACCAGACCATCTATGGAACCGAATATATTACTGTAGTTATACCGTTATACCTACATGGATAGGTCATAAATGGAGTCAATATAATTATACATACATGGAGTGTCTGGGTGTGTGTATACTCTTTGTTCGAAAGACCATGCTTGTTGAATTCAACAAAATCGAAAACTATGAATCCATGACGCGGCCGCGTCGCTGACGCATTGCGTTCGGCGCTGAACCGCGTCGGGCTGTCCCAATCCGCTTTGCCCAAGGCGTCCAGGATCTCTTTGGCCGCCATCTGCACTGGCTCATCATTGCCTGACATCGCGGTGTATCACTCTAACATGGAAGTCATTGACTCTCATAGATCACTTGAACTGTTAGGTGCATACTATTACTGAGGTCGGTCAAACGCAAAGAGCACATAACTCTATTACATCTGGACAATTGAAGGGATAATCACCCCAACAGGCCTGGCGTTCAAGACCCCTGGTGTGTTCCTATTTCTCCGGTCCAGTGGGGCGATGCCGCAAAGAGAGACCGACCTAACACTAACTCCACTCCACCCACTGCTGACCCAAACACTCCACCACGATGGAATATGTTTTGCCAGCCCCATGGACCCCTATTTCAACCACCCCTGGCCTGCGCGGTCGTCAACTACCAGTCCCGGACAAGTCGTGTCTGAGTGATACATCCAATCATGACCCATCTGGAGTTTTTGCTCGCCAGATCCTGGAGTGTTCGATTCCCAGCGCTGCTCCGATGGCGTTCTTCTCCCAGTTCGGGTTTCTTCTACTCAGTCATCGACCAACAAACTATATCGACCACTGTCGTCCTCAGTCAGGTCTACCTCCTTTTCGGAAAAACCTTCCTTCGGGGCTGACAGGACCTCCGAGTTTCTCGGCATGATCCTGGATCCTGGAATTGGATCACTTCCGACCCATGGAATTGCTTGAAGGGACAATCATCAACATGATATTTCTCACGGACAGATGAAGCCGCTGTGCTCTATTTAAAAGATGTTAAAAGGACAAAAGGTCAACCCCAAATTCCATGTTCACCGCCAATTCCATGGGGAAACAGACTTTCGACCGACCCGACCTCGCTTTTCCCGACCCGACCTCCGCTGACCGGCCGGGCGGATCCTGAGCCTCCCGACCAGCTCCTCCAGGGCGTTTCACGCGCAGGGCCTGGCGGTGCACCGACTGAAAGCCACTGAGTCCCAGCATGCCAAAGGCGGTAGCAGAGATGTGAACCATGTGAACATGTTTTGGGACATCCACCAGACATGGTTTTTTGGAGTACTAATATATACTACACTCTAGAAGACTTAGAAGACTCACATGGACCCTGAGTACTCCACTGGGTTGGTAGAGGAAAACAACCAGACCCAGGGGGAGGAGGACGTCAGGGTCCATGTGACTCAGGAGGTGTTCCACGATTTCTTCGGTCCAGCAGAATTTCTTGGGCTCCAGTCGTACCTTCGTGAAACGAAGGTATTTGGGGTGGGTTTAGAGGGTCCAAAAACCTCCTCAAAAAATACTTGGAGCCCTAGGGACTATAAAATACTGACTGCCTCCATGATCGATCCAAACCATGCTAGTCGCATGGTTTTCTCGCCGCACGTCGCACCAATCTGAGCCCCCAGGCACGCTGCAACTTGTCCATGGACAAAATGCACCTCGCTTTGGCCCAAGAATTGCGGTCAACACGTACTTTTGATCATTCTTCCATTTGGGGGAGTGCGTCTGCCTCCACATAGAACCATGATGCTTGCCCTACCCCAGAAAAACTGGATTCAGCATTTACTTTTCTGCCACCCTTGGTGGAACTGGGACACATTTCATGTCGTTTTTGGGGGACCGCCTCTTTCGGGGGCCACAGCAACACGGAGGTGACTATCACGTCGGATCCAGCGCTTTGGTGAAACAACATTGACAAAAAAGGTGATAATTCAGAGTCCCTTGATGGACAGGATGTTCAACCACTGCAAGTAGCAGGTGCGTCGCCGTCGCGAACATCTTGAGTCGAACCCGAGATGTCTGTCAATCCCCACTAACGTCCATTAACTCAGCACTGGAAACTGCTGATGATCCAATCTGCCTCTACAGGACTCACTGCAACCTCTTTACCCCAAACTTGAGAGGACCCGACAAAGCAAGATATTGGAGGGGCAGGCCGCTACAAATAGCAACCATCAAATCTGCTTGACATGTGATGTCCTCGGAGGCCTTGGCAACTTGAGGGAAAACGCCGGTTTGGGCTGGCCCTTTGGCACATCGTCTACTGGGAATGAGCAAAGAAACAGGTCCTTTGGGTCCATCCTAAGGTCGCAAGCCTTACTACCAACCATGTTTTTGCACGTCATTCCATGCCGCAAAAGGCAGCGACCACTGTTTGAGCTGTCGCGCGCACTCCCGTTGCTTGGTATTTTTCGTGTGCTGGCTTCTTTAATGGCGAAGAAAGCGTTGCAAGTGTGATAGGTGTTCTCTTGGCAGGAACAGATCAAACATGATAAAACAACAATTAGCACACATTTGCCGCTTCAGGTTTGTCTGCACAAACTAGTTGGAATCGGATCTCTTTGGCTCTATCTCGACTGCGGCAAAGACCTGAAGGTGCCAAAAACTGTTTCTTGTTCTTCTCTTTGCTTCTTCTTCTTATTTTTTTGCCCCTGCTCTTTCTTCCGGCAAACGCCAAAAGTGAATCACATTCTAGTGTAACAGCTCAGCTCTCCAAAAGAACTTATGTAATCTTATGTATATCTTATCTCAAGTATACTAAATACCATCTCTCTCATCCTCCACCGCCGATCCTCCAAGCCCTGAGCGTCCGCACTCCAGGAGGTGTTGTCGGCGAAGCCTGAGACCGCCACGCAAGCCCGGGCGGCACCCAGGCGGTGTTCTCATGACGTTTGAGGATGCTTCGGATGTGTTCAAGAAGCAATGTAGACTGTTAAATCACCTCCCCTGGATGGTGTGTTTCACCTCATATTGGTGTATCAATCAAACTGTCAACAAGGAAGGTCTCCTGAAGGGATTGCGAAGCGAGTCCCCAAAGCCCAACAACTTGGCCGGTTGGGAGTGGGTCGAAACGCTTGGGTCACCCTTAAGCTTGGTAACCCGTTCCAAACACCTGTTAAGACCCTAGTATGCCTATAAGCATACTAAGGGCTACCCAAGGAATGGTTAATTTCAAACATGTTCTAACATGTCCGGAAGTGACATGGACAACAATTCTTGCTTGAGGCTTCCCATCAGCCAAGAGAGGAGGTCCTACTTGAATTGAGGCTTCTCCAGGCTGATTTGAATCCCAAACCTATACTCCGTGGATGAAATGAGCATCGGAAGGCCATGAACTCCAAGGATGTCCTACCAGGCCATCGACTTTGATCACTCCATGTCAAGACCCATGGGAGCCTACCACTCCAAAGGGAGCCTGATGGATAGGCTTGATTCTGCCATGAGGAGAACTCTTTTGAAAAAGAACAAACAAGAACCACATGAAATTGGTCCTTCCGAGAAGCGGAGAAACGATCACATTCCACTTCCCTCTCAGAGGTTCTTCCTCAACAATCTTCTATCCCTATCAAGGCTGCCCAAAGGGGCTTCAAAAGAAAAGGAATGCCACGCTGTGTGCTGTCAACACCGCCAGCCTCACGAGGCTAATCATGGGTCTCCCAGGTGGTCGAGACCGCCAATTGGGCGCCCCCAACTCCATGATGAAGGGCGTCGGGCTCCTGGTGAGCACCACCACAGGGAGGATTTTGGAATGTATCACACATATATAACCCAGGGAGTCCAGTGACCAATATAGTGGGTAACCAGTGGTTCCAAAGACTAAAAGCGTAGACCGAACGAAACCCTGGTTCCTTACATAGAGGTTTGCCTGGGATCCACTGGGTAAGGAATGGAAAAAAGTAAAACCTATCAACTGCCCCTTTGCTCCTCAGCTTGAGCTGAGGAAATTTCAACGTGCTCAAATGTTTTTTCTCTGAGGCAAGTAGTCCCTGAACAAAGTGGTACCTACATGTGCCGATCGGCCATTTCGTCTCATCGAATCAATGACCGCCCATCAGTGCCAGAGGGCGGCCAGGGCGCCACTCCGTTCGACGCTCCAGGCGTTTCGGTTCGTGCCCTGCTGAACCGCAAGATGAACAAAACCAATTTCCAGTCGTGAAATGCCACATTACAACAGCAGGATCATGGCGACAAGAAGAACGAATACGAACACTACGACGGTATATTACAATCTTTAGTATCCCAAACACTCCATGGGACCCGACTGATCAACCAATATGCCAGTCCCATGTAATGTCTGAGTGTAAGGAGTGCTATACCAAATCAACATATGCAGGACAATCAACAGTGATGATGATTTCTGGGCAAATACGCCAGGGGCATTCAACAACAGTGATACCAAATAAGTTCGTTTACCCTGCAACGACCCCAGCTTTGCATCACCGCGCGCTGGTGGGATGTATATATGTTTGTGTTCCTCAAAAGGTTCTCCATGAGCTGCTTCGCTCCGAGAAGATGCCCAGAAGCATCGATAGGCCTCGGGTTGAGCAAGTGAAAGGTTGAATGCAGCTGGTGCGCTGGGGAAGACACTGCGACACACACACACACACACACCACATGGTGAGCTGGCATTCACTCCCAGTCCCTCAAGGAATGCAATCTTGCTTTCAATCGATATGATATACATGTTTTGTTTTTATATAACTAAATACACCAGAACCTACAAATAAGGGTATGGATAGCGAATTAAAAGCGGTCGGTTTATCTTCCAATTGTAAGTATGTATCATATTTATTCATCAAAATATATGCATCTAATATGTATTGTTTAAACTACGTGTCTTTTAAGCTCTGGATTATCGTTTTTAGTCTATTTAAACAGGTTTTGTAGTCTTATTGTAATATGTTTTTTTTTAAATCATTAACGTGATATCTAAGCTATATGCTATACAATTAAGATACATTGAAATATCAACGTTTATTGTCATGTATATTATCATCGGTTTCATCTACAAATTCAAGATCTTTAAAATATCAACTTGTATTGTCATGTAAATTATCATCGGTTTCATCTACATATCTAAGATCTTTAAAATATCAACTTGTATTGTCATCTATAGTTTCAGTATCGTCGGCATTATGGTTATTATTTGCATTATGTGTTTTTTGTTTTACCGGAGTCTTCAACAGCTATCAAAGCATTTTCAAAACATTTTGTATTAACATTTCCATCTTCAATGTAATTTCTTTAAGCATATAATCTAACACTTGATAAAGATACATGTGATATTTGATACAGGTGATATTTTATATGACGGAGAATTTATTGCATATACCAATAGTATTAAACATATTTTAAAAGACTTGACTTTAAACATCAATTTGTGATGAATTAAAAAACTACAAATCATATGGTATAGAGCGGTAAGACAAGTATAGTTAAATAAGTACTGTTAAATGATGGAAACGTATGAAGTATCAGGTTCATATATTAATTCAACAGGTGTAACAATAGTTGTTGATAATATGTGCCGCCAAGTAGGTGGAATAATTACAGTTGATAGATGTGGATTACTAAAAAATAGTCAGATCCTATAAGTAAAGCAACATTCGAAAGAACCATGGAACATGTTGTAAGAAATGCTGCTATATTTAGTGAAGTCGATACACGTAAATGAAATATAGTTAATGGATGGTGTAACAAAAGTTCACAGCAGAATTATATTTACAATCTTCGAGTAATATCATTGAACAAAGACAGTTTTGGTTTTAATGGAAGTATGTACAAAGAATTGTTTTATGAATATAGTACTATAAATGATGACACTGATGGAACAAGATGATACTTCTTTTAAGTAACAGATTTAGAAAAATATATCGGTTTTTACCTATATTTCAATGATTTAACAAATCTAGAAAATTGAAATAGACAAAAATTGTAATATACATTTACTTGAACCAACTATGTTTAATGATAACATGCTTACTTCTTATAGTACAATTGTTCATAAGAGTCTGGTGAGAAGTCTACAGGGTTAGCCGTAAATATCTGTAAATGGTATTGAGATAGAAGATATAAGTAATCTTATACATTGGTCTTACAAAAATGAAGATGAAACAGTTAAAATATTATTGCATTTTTGAGAACAATAAATGCAATGAAAACAAATTGGGATATTGTAGAATATCCTGCTAGAAAAGTAAACTATGAATTACATCTTTATGTTCCTGAATTGGTTGAACATGAAGACGGAGAATTAGTACTTTCAGTTGTAACAAAATATTGCTAGTGGAAGATTACACTCGCGAGGTAAAGTAGAAATTCAAAACGGATACATTAAACTTGGCACACCCAAAGGTATAAATATGGCCTGCCTTTTGGATGCTAGGCAATGAGCATGGGTGGCCTGACTGTGGAGAAGTTGATATTTTGGAATATGTAGGATGGAAAAATTTCTGTATTTGGAACATTACATGGAAAAGGCTATTGCGGTGGTGAACATTATGAGTCTGGCTCAAGAGAGTTTTTTAACAGTTGTCGTGCCAAAGTCAAGCAACAATACACAACAATCATGCTTAACATTAACATCTATGCTGTTCCTCCCTCAGCACGCGTGCCTTTCTTCAGAAATCTAACCCTTCTCTGCACGTTTGCAGAAGATGGGTAGAGCCCAATACATCTCACATGAACAGGTAAGTACCTATTGAACAACTCTAGCGCATGTGCCAACTCTTCCGGAATTGTATTTTTGCCCACTGCTGCATGGGTTCACTCACAGTGAATGTGAAATTGTCGACATGTGTCCCATATGGAACATCACCAACTCCAAGGATCTCAGAGGACCACCTAGTCCAACGTGGTCCCGTGTAGTGAGTCTTCTCAAGGAGCTCGTCCGACACAAAGTGGGCATCAAATATGGCAAATGCTTCCTTGTGTGAAACACATCGACTGTCGCCTTCTCGCCAACTTCTCTCTGCCGAATAGCATAATAAAATGCACACACAGAGATGACAGGTGACGGAAGTGATTATCGAGCCCTTCGAGTATCCACAAACATGTGCGTAAGGCGAGGTCATGTTATAACCTGCGGGGATAATGTCTCCAACGACCCCCTCACCCGAAGATCCACGGAATACCATTCTTGGCGCGACTCGATTATGGTTTCCAAATGAATTACCATCGGCTCTGTTCTCTTCCCATTTGGGTTTGTACACCCAAGACCGATAGAACTTCATGAAGTCCTCCATAAAGGTTTTGCCACTTCCTGATACACCATAAACTGTCCAAAACTTTTTTCTCTGTTTACAGTTATACTTACGGTGGTTACTTGTCTTTTTGTTGAGTTCATTGTCAAAAATCTGATATGAATATATGTTTATAAAACAAATGTGCTTGGGATAAATTATTTGATCTTTCTTTAAACAAATGCAAATTTAACAAGATATCTTATACAACAACCTGAATCTTCACAAACTCTCTATTCTAACGACACATTCAGATGCACATCTAGTTCAAATGTTTATGACAATATTGATGTCGATAAACATATTAAAGTTCTCGAAATATCATATCATAGTTTAATAGTGTTGTTTTAGGAAATACTACAATAAATACAGAATTACATACTAATCATATTATCAATAACAGTGTAAACATATAAAGATTTAACAACTTCAAAAATTATTGGATTGCAATATTGGAATTCAATAGTAGCTGGTACAGGAACAATATTGACAAATTTAATCACGAGTATGTATTTAAAAACGGACACCTATTAAAGAAAAGTCATGTCGGAACCTCCTACAAATGGTTTAGTTTATAAATTACCGCCCTTTCAAGCCACTACTAAACTACAACATTGCCCATTTTGGAGCAGCTTTTTGTTTTATTAGGTTCCAAAAACAACCGTAACCGCCGTAACTGCAAATCTATCCACCATGACACGCCTTGTTTACACCAGCAGGCTTTACTTCCCCCAATGGCCCGGACTCACGCAAACGCACTTGCCACCGAGGTCACGCAAAACCGCATGGCACAGCGACATCACCTTTCGAAAGCGTTAGTTGCTAGTCTAATTAAAGAACTACTGTTCTGTTCTAATAAAAGTTTTGTGAGGGAAAGGAAGACCCCTCGATCTGGAGGTTTTGGAATTTTGGATACGAGTTTAAGAAAGGATTGTATATAAAAATGTCCAGGGTGACTTTTTGGTTTTGGACCCTATGTTGGACCACCCCGATTTCAGGGACCCCCTATTTTAAAAAAGGCGACCAAGGTTTCCTTATTAGCGGGGGCGGTGTGCTTTTAATAGGTGGACAGGATTAAATATAAAATAGGTGACCATGCCATCCACGTCAATGTGTGGAACGCTTGTTGCAGAAGGAGTCCCAGGAACACAGTGAGCAGAAATTGGCGGTGACAAGGAGTGAAAACAGTGAGCCATAGAGGGCCCAAGGGGCCACCAAGTAAGCAGGAAAACGTGAAAACCTGAAGACTGCAAAGCATCGGCTCTCACATTTACACTCCCAGTAGCGAGAACATCAAAAGAGATAGAACTTGGGTATGCCTCATAAGCGGGGCCTAGTGCACTGATCAGTCTGCAGTGGTTTGAGGTGTCAATGTAGGTATGTGTTCCATCCATTGAGTGTCTGGGGCATTTTTTCCATAGCGTAGTGTTCAAACCTGTCGTCGCTGTTATAGCATCGCCAAACTGGACCATCAGCACTCATTGCTTGAGGTTGAAATCTCAGCAAAAGTCTACAAATCCAGTGTTGACACCTTGTCTTCTCCCTGTTTCTATCATCCCACCACCGACATGATTCAAAGGCATTCAACATCTGCAGACTTCAAAACCCACCCATTCAACGCAGCGAGCACGCGTGCGGGCGGATTGCGCCCCAGATCCGGGAGTCTGGCGGGAGTCCCAGAACCTCCTGGAGCAAAGGAATGAGGCTGGGGGATAGCCCCCTGAAAACCCTCTACGGGCTAAAGGAACCAGGTGCAACAATAGATTTGGAAATACATACTCAAATCCTTAAGAATGCATCAAATAAAGTCAGGAAGCCAGGGACCTGGAGCGTCTCGCTAGCTTAAGGCACACAGCACCAAAATCCATTCGATCTGGAAATACTTGGACTCTAGTCTAAATACGGTGACATTTAGATCACTGTAGGGGAACACTGCCAAATACATGTAAAGCCAGCACCCCAACGAAAGAAATGTCGCCTGGAACACCCGATGCTCTGTTGACCAACATACATGTACACGCAAGGGTCGGCAGAAAAGTGCGCGCCTATGCGGGCAACGCTCATGTTTTTGGTTGTAATGGGCCGACGGCGGGCTGCAGCAGCTGCTCACATAGTTCTGCTTTGCTCCGCGGCGGTTCGGACCGAAACTCTGTGTGAACAGCTCCCCTGGGTCAATCGAGGCGCTCGCGCGCTATAGCCGGCCAGGACGAGGTCGACAGCATGCCGGAGAGATGTCCACGGAGTCCACGACTGCAAAAAGCTGTGGAGGCCTGAAGCCACACGACTGCACGTTCGCGCCATGAATAGGCTTTCCACCGTCACAGAGGGTCGTACAGTGGTCCTATTTTCACAACCTGCAAAGCAGCCACGATCCAGCTGTCTTCCCTACTATATAGCCGGAAGGGATGAGAGCTTGGAGCGGCCAACCTTTGGATTTGCAGTCATCCACTTTGATCTTTATAAGGGGTGCCATAGACGAGTTGACGGAGCATAGATACACCGGCTTTCTCAAGAAATGAGGCGCGCTTCTTCCTAGTGTAGTGCTCAAATCATCTGCATTGTGTCACCTTTTTGACACAGCATATTTCAAACGAAAAGGGGCTGGCAGAAGTTGTAAGTTTTGCTTGTCACAAGCTTCTTGGCAAATGAAGTCGACCCAGCATGGAAGTCGATGTCCTCGTCATGGTCAAATGATGTCAAGGAAGTGAACCACTGGCTGGCTGAGATTTACGGACCATCCTCCTTTGGAAGAGAGGAAACGTAAACGATTTCACGAGGAAGTTCTAGTGTCTCATTGGGAGGAGAGACGCGGCAAGTCAGCCTCTCAACGATCTCCTTCAGGTCATCATAGGTTAGGTCCTCGCCTGCACAGCCATGAGGGCAAGAGAAGTGGCACGAGGAAGTAGCAACTGGTCGCAGGAAACTAGGTACACGCGCCATAGATGGCCGCAGAATTTGTGTTCGTCTGGATGACTCCTTGGCTTCAGTGTTCGCAGGGCCACTGAGAAATCAGCCGATGCACGGATGCACACAGGTAGTCTAGTTTGGCTGCAGACACGAGATTGCTGCGTAAGCTCAGAGTGTCCACTTGTTTCTGGGATGGTATGTTTGACCTGACTGGGGAGAAGGTAGAAAAATGTCCAAAACACATGAGAACCATTAGAATTGCGGTTGAGCACTAGCACTACACCCCCGCCTTGAGGAGTCCTCGTAGTTCGTCCAAAACTTCATTGGGCGCTTTGCAAACAATGCTCTGTCTCCAAATCCACTGAAAGCACTTTAGCTTCAGCAAGGGGTTGAGCAGCGTTCATTTATCTGTCTCACAGCGTCGCGTTCCACGGTTTCCATGAAGTTCAAAAATCTGATCAAACAATACTATATAGCCAACGGTGCACACTTTATTTCAGTTGGAAACATTTTGGCTGCAACATGCTGCAACACATACATCCCAAACACACAACAAACATCGAAACAACATTTCGGAAAAAATGAGGTAAGCATGAGAAGTCAAGATAGAAACGGTCAGGGTCCAACAACAATGTTCAAACATTCATGTCCTAAGATCTGCTCGTGTACCGAAGTTCCTAGAGAAACCAAAAAGCGTCAAGTAGATAAAGTCAGTACGAAAGAACTCTTTCAATCGATCCAGAAACAAAAAACAATGCTCTTTCTAGAGTCAACAGCAACACTAAACAAAGGATACCAAACTATTTGAACACAACTCCCTCATGGAGTTCTGTTTGCATGTCATGAACCGAAAAGAACTGCAGCGCGATACGAAAGACCTGAACCCCAAAACCAAACAAGTACGGTGCGACAGAAACGCGTAAAATTAAAATCTCACTGCCCTCATCGCGAAATGATCGTTGAAGCCCACAATCATGATTCGCTCAAAATCATGAAAACCATAACGTCATGTCCCCCCCATCCACCCCCTGACCTTAGTATGTGTGTCTGTGATGTCATCGTGAAGCACATGTATGTGTGTGTGTGTGTGTCAACTCCCGTTTCTAGGGCTTCTATTGCACTACTTCGCTCGTACGCAGTCTCGCCACATTTCAGCAGGGGGTCCAGGCAGTTGTGAGTTGCCCCTGGAGAAGGGACGCCTTCTTGTGTACCTGCACTATTTTTAAGTTTAAAGGGTAAAGTGCGCAATGCTTCCCGCGAACCGAGCTCCATCCTGAATTTCTGAATTCTAGCTCCACGGAGCACCATTCTCAAGTGACGTGTGTGAAGCCAAAACGACGCAACAAAACGAAGCGCCATCTATGGCACGTGGTCCAACTACTGAGCTCAGAGAAGCTGTCAGAAGTGAAGCACAGAATTCAAGACGAGATGTGCCGCGCAAATGTTATTCATTGTGAATGGATTTTATTCAGCAGATGTGCAACCGATTCACAATTACTTTGAACTACCGTTTGGTCATGGAAAACATAGTCACTCAGGGTGCGCTCTGCGTCTTGGGCAAGTCCAGGATCTCCTTGAGGGACACGCTGGGCGGCAAGTCCACCGGCCTTGGGGGGTGGCGATGCCACCAGATCTGGATATCTGCCGAAGATACTTTTGGAACAAGACAATGGTGAAACAAGCGCACTTGAAACACTTCGGACAGGGGAGATGGGCCAACAAATAGCTGACAATTGCACTTGTCCAACCTACGAGTGACAGCATATGAGAATGTTCATGCCACATTTCATGCCTATAGTGCCAGCAGTATCCCCTGCACTGATATCGTATAGCATAGAACCCCCGGAGTATAGCATAGAACCCCCTGATTTACGGCCTGTAAACACTCCCGCGGACCATGGAATTCTAGACTGGTCCAGAGCATGTCGACATGACATCGGCTCCAGTGATGCTCAGCGAGGCCGAGGCTGAGGAGATGGTCTCAGGCCGAACGCCGACCCGAGGGAGTCTCGGTCCTAACGCCGACTGTTGAGCCTCCAACGCCCGAGAGTCTGAACTTGAGACAAGCAAAACCAAGACGAGTTACACTCCCCGAAGTACATCCATCGGAGTGAAACAGGCCAGGCATGCCATCCATCCCTAGGGATCCAAGTACCTTCTCAGAAGGTGATTGGAGGCACTGTTTTGTAGGTTTGGAGGGTCCAAGTACCTTCTGAGAAGGTACTTGGATCCCTAGGGCATGTTTATGAACCATTTCTTATTTGTATGGCAAACAGCTGGTGCCATTCATGTGCCATCCACTTCCACTGACTCGGGTCATGTTTGAAGCCGATCCTCGAAGCTTTGGTCCAAGTTGTTTCTCCATCCAGGAACCACTGCACTAAATCAGACCGTTAAGAAGATTAAAGAAACACAAAAAAACAACCGTAGCTGAAAGCACCGCCACTAGCAGTAGCACCTTAGCACTTCAATTTTAACAAAGCTGCACCTCAACATCATCTGAACGCCCTCTTCATCCCCCTTCCTACCCCCCAGCGGACTGATCTTGCGCCAAGGAACTCCTCGCCCTGGCAAGAAGGGGATGCTACGCTTGGCCCAACGGAGATGTGTTTCTGCTAGACACGTGGAGAGCGGATGATGAGTTCGCCTCGCAGCATCGAGCTCTTCCAGTTCGTCTCTGCTGCGAGAGTATGGCGTAAGAAGGGAATTCGGTTATGACGGTTAAGTGGGAGTAAGACTCATATGAATCTCAAAAGCAAGTCCCAATTCCCAGTGGATGATGATGGTTAGCAAATAATTATCAAAAATGGCATGTGAGAACCTTCCACCGACTGCTACAAGGTCATGGACACACCCTATAGTCACATGACACCTGAGGGATCAAATCGCTTGTATACCAATACGTGGCAAAAACCGCATGTTACTATTTTTCAACATGTAACTAACATGTCTATCTGAACAAAAAGAGAACTCCACACCTGTACCGTGGTGAGTTGCCCTGAATGTCCATTTCTCTTCCACCAAAGGTGGGTGGGGTGGGTTCCACTCTCCGGTCTCCGTCTCTCCCGAGGACACGCTGCGCCTGAAACTGCACCGCGCCGGGGGAGGTCGATTTCGTCAGTTTGTCCCTGGGTGACACCACGACGGTGAGACAGGTGACGTGTGTGACAGTCTTGTCTCGTGGCGCGACGAACTCTCCACGATGGGAGTATCTGGGATTGACTCGTTTTTTGTTTTCACTGTCTGGGTGGTCATCTATAGGTGTTTTCATGGTCAAGGTGGTATCTAATTGTTGTCGCATGAATTGTTGCCTATACAATGTATGCCACGCATCGCTATGCTATACCCCCTTTGCGACTCGAACGGCCCAAGATGCCAAGATCCCGGTTATTTGGTTATTTGACTGGGTGTGGCCAAAGGGAGTAACGGAGGAGGGTGGGTGTGGTATGACTGGCAAAGTCTAGGACTAGGAGGTGGCACCAAGTGGCTCCTGTCACACTACCTGTCATCTCTGATGGTGTGAAGGTGGGAGAATCAAGGCACTGGTGACTCAACTCTCAGGTGGGTTGGTGCTGTATGGAGGCAACCAGGTGGGTGCTGAAGGGTTGAGAAAGGTGACGAAAATGATGGTTTCTTCCCGACAGAGTTATCGACATGTTCGAGTGAAAAGCGCGATCGCAAGCCGCCCTAGTTAGGCAGTGGTAATCAACCAATGGGTTGCCACCTGGTACTCAGCCAAAGAGTATATCTAGAGATGAGCGCCAGCTTGCCTGATCAGCCTGATCAAAAAGTGTCAGGAAGCCCTGGATGTTTGTAACTCCTACTCAACCATCCATGGCTGCCGTCTGGTCGCCCTCTCGTGTCTTTGGATTGCTTCTCCCTGCATTTCGCAGTTCTGGTGGTTGGGATGGAAAAGCATGAGTGATGTGGATGTGGATCAGCATCCCATATACAGTACAACCCCAGGTCCGAGACCAAACAGAAGGAGTGGGATCATCGTGGGCCTCCCCTCCCTTCTTCTCCTTCTTCTTGAGTTTCTCGTTGATGTGGAATACAACTCCCTATATATGGATCCCTATGGATCCACATACCGAACCTGAGAAGGTGACAATGGATCCATAGGGAGTTGATGATGTCTCAAACTGTTTGAGGTCTGGACCCAGGGCTCTCGTTTCGCGCTTCATCTTTAGGCGCTGAAAACACAAAAGTGGTTCAACAGTAGCAAGTGAGTCATCCTCTGCAAGAAACCAACAGCAACCAGTTCTTTTTGTCCGGATATCTCTGAAAAAGCACACACAGCTATGTGCATCGATGTATGATCATTGCGAGTCTTCTCTATGTTCACTGCTTGAAATCGACATATTGTAGAAACTCGATTGATAGAATCCCCTGAAACTTTACAATCCAAAAGGCCAGGGTTTGGAAGAGTCTACACCCCACTGCTTGGGGGGTCCAGACCAATGTAAAACAAAAGGAGATCGTGGCAAAACCCCTCTCTGTCTGCGATCGCGACCTGATCCGACTTGGTTTCCTGACCTGGTCCGTACGGCGTGCAACTGCGCTCGACTGTGCAACATGCTCTTCAAGGCCGTCAAGTGCTCCCTGCGGAGTACTGCGGATCAGTGACGAAGTACTGCGGAGCGAGAATCTACGACGAAACAGACTGAAACAAAGAAACAGGTATACTGGCCCTAGGGATCCAAGATCTTCTCAGAAGGTACATAGACCCTCCTGGCACCTACATAACAGTGTCTCCCATCACCAAACCTGAGAAGGTACGACTGGATCCCTATGGTGGGAGTACTTCAATTCTGGTGTTTGGGTGTGCTTGGGGCTTGGGGTATTTAGTGGCAAGCCGAATCAGTTCTCTGGACCTATAGGAGCTCGTGCAGGCTAGAATTCCAGCCCGAATCCATTCAGGCAGTACTTCTGCCCGAAGATGGTTTTCACGCCCGACCCTGGAATTCTCGCCCGTATGTGCTTTTGCTGCGAGTGATGAATACATTGCAATGCAACTTATAATAAGTCTACAAAAATCATACAACCTCCCGCACCCAATCACAGCAATTCTCTTCCGAATTGAAACGTCGAAAAATGTTTTAAAACTACGGGATTTGCAACAGAGGTGCTTTGCAAGTAATTAGCAACATCTGCGTGAATAACGATTTCTGCCCGCAGGCAGTTTGACAAGGACAAACCCTGGTTCACGCCGATTTTCTTGAACAGGCAGAAATTTAAGCATGAATGAGGGTCCAGGGATTGCACTTTTTACATGTGTTCTTCCACTTCTTTTTCACAATTATGCATGTTCAAGCGGGCTGCCAGTGAAGCTGCGTCTCTCAATGATGGTTCAATGACCCCCATAAAGGTGTCCTGGGACGGGATGGTACCCTGCTGTCCTGCAGAAGGCCGGATGCGTTCTTGAGGGCAGCTTGGCTCGTGAGAGAATGCACACAAACATCGAAAACGTGCCCAGTCAGAAAGGTTATACAAACTACTACGTAATGCGCACCTAGGATTAAGTAACCACCCCCTATTAATCAATCCCAGCTCGACTGCCCCAGGAAAAAATATGGTTTACTATTTCTATATATAACGTTTATATATATAACTATATTTATTGTTTAGTTTCATTATTCATGTTCTTTTGCAAATGCTTCTTTACCTTCTTGTCTAACTCATATTCCTATTCCTTACCTTCTTAATGAACTCCTCATAGTCTTCATTTTCTCACCAATCCTTTTGATGGCTTCTCCTAAGGGCGCATGCCAGCAACCATCCCCCCAAAAAATATAGCACAAATATGTAATTTGTCCCTGTTAAAGCTCTATCAAAATCTTAACTTGTTCAAGCTCACACAGGCCCTAACCCCCCCCCCAATAGTAGGACCAGCTCTCCCTATTAATCAATCCCACCCTCTGGCCTATGCTTGTCTTCTAATGCTTTCATCGTGCTCTTCCTTGTCCAATTCTTCCCAATCAAAGAGAGTATCAGCAAATGGTTTTCCAATCCCATGGATCCCCCATTCATCCAAATCTTCCCAATCAAACCATCATCCATCATCAGGTCCAGGTCCTCATCTCATCCATCATCAGGTCATCACCTTTATTAGGGGGATGTGGTCCTCCAATACCTCCAATCTCTGACCTTGTTGACCTTGAACGGGGGGGGCGTTGATTAATCCTACGTTGCCATTAGGTGTGGAGTGGGAGAACCATGATGTCTTATTTCCGATCGATACACCGCATTTTGGTGACTTCAGCCGCGGCCCAGTGAAAATCCGTCGTACTGCTCTAGCCTCTCGTTGCTAGCCTTCTCATCCTCCGCGTCGCATGATCCGGCGAGATGATCCGCATCTGCACTGAGACTACGACCCTTTCTCTGCTCCTCTGGCCGTAACGAAATCCTCAGGCTCCCTCTCTTTGTCCTCCAGAGACACTCCTTGAGCTACTCCTTCATGGCCCTGGCCTTGTCCTTCCCCATGACGCAACGGATCTTCCTATAATCTTCCGAAAGTCCATCCAAACTTCTCTAAAATTGGATGAACAGATCATCCAAAATTTCAGCCAAATGCATTTTTGGAAAAGAATGGTTCAGTGTTTTTGTGTTCTACACCATCGACGATTCACCTCCCAGAACCTCACCTGGGCTTCCGAGGGAAGAACAGCCGCAGCACAGCACTCAAAACCTGGCGGCTGTTTTACGTCGCGCAGGCGACGCGACAAAACAAACGCTGTTGTCCGATGTATGTCCTCAAAAAATGCGAGAGTGTCTGAAAAATCAAATAGAATCAACCCCCCCCAAAGGCCTTTTTTAGGCCTCCAAATAGAACCTGGTCCAGGTGTTTGGAATGGCTTTCAGAATTCTAAGTACGGATGGATGTACTTGGAGGTCTTGGAAAAGATATGTCTCATTTTTTGTCCCTGGCCAAATCGATTCGACACAGAGAAAAACACACAACTCACCATCAATTGTTGATCTACATGCAGGTCAATCACCTAAAAGATACATTCCACTGACCTTGAGAGGTGAAAGCTGCCTTGGGTCTATACTTTTGAACAGTGCCATCCAAAAACTGTCTCGATCTGTCCAAGAGAGACCTGGCCTTCTACGTTCCTCTCTATCTTTTCCATCTTCGGTCCCGGAACGTCCAAGGTTGCCAGCTCCACCGAGACATTCATCTCCAAAGAGAGCTCCTCCTCATCCTGCGCTCGTGTCCGGATCCGTCCAAGAGGAGGAACGGAGGGACCGAGGTGAGACGGTCTCGGGGTGTTGTGGGCCATCTAAAGGTGAAAAGGAGGATTGAAGGCACTAATATCATCTAGAATCCACTCTATATATATATATATATCCGCCGACCCCGGCCTATAGCCAAAGCCTAGGCGGGGAGGCGCCTGGGACACCGCAGGGTGAAGCAGTTGGCCAAGCCTAGCAGAACCCTTCAAGCACTTCCAAAGGCGCAGGATGCAGCAGTTGGCCAAGCCTAGCAGAACCCTTCCAAGCACTTCCAAAGGCCTGTCCGAGGCCTCACCAGCTGGCCGGCCTGTTGCGGCCTCTCTGTGGCCTGTCCGAAGCCTGCCTCCTCTCTTCTT